TGAAATTTGAGAAATCTGAAGGCACCTTTCATTTACTAGATCTTGACCTTAAATATAGACTTTAGTTCTGTCTTTAGGGCCATGGAGCAGTGAGGGTTCTGAAGCCTTGTAAACAGATTTTAAAATGGAGAAGGCAGGTATGATAAAAATTGACTAAAAAATATATAACCATATTTCCAGGGACCTACTAGTATATAGGTCCCTGATATTAATTATTTCATTATTAAAAAGAAAATGTCCAGTTTACAAATGAGGAAAATATGACAACACACTTTGACACCTATGAACAGACAAACATACAGGGTCTTATGTTTACAACACTGTAGCAAGAGACCATTGACATAAAACACTCTTAAACATGCATTGTCTCATGTTTACAGACTGTAGCATGAGACCATTGACATAAAACACTCTTAAACGTGGATGGTCTCATGTTTACAAACTGTAGCATGAGACCATAGACATATAACAGTCACAAACACACATGGCCTCATATTTACAATACTGTAGCATGAGACCATAGACATAAAACAGTCTTAAACATGCATGGTCTCATGTTTACAAACTGTAGCATGAGACCATTGACATATAACAGTCACAAACACACATGGTCTCATGTTAACAAACTGTAGCATAAGACCATTGACATATAACAGTCACAGACACACATGGTCTCATGTTTACAAACTGTAGCATGAGACCATTGACATATAACAGTCACAAATACACATGGTCTCATATTTACAAACTGTAGCATGAGACTATTGACATATAACAGTCACTTTAAATCATGATATCATTTGAAATGCTAACTTATATAAGTAGTATTATATTTGTTCTGTTTAATTTCAGATGTTTTGCTGGTTTTCAAGTCATGGAGTCCCTTGAGTTACCAAATGTGCCATTCACTATTTTTAAGAACATAATTTAGATAAGGTAATTAAATAATTGTGAGATTGATATTTGCATTTTGCAAAGTATGTCTATTATATACACTGAATATTGAGAATTTTATTGGCACATACTCTATACTTTCTTCAGCACCTAATTCATTATAAATGAAAATGTTGTAAATTAGAGCATTATTGTCTCAAGATGGACCCTTTGTCTTTCCAGACTTCAGAATTTTATGTCAATTGACTGCACTAGTCTTGAATTGTCATACAGGTATGTACTGAAAATTCGATGTCAATACCGGTATATACAAGAGCTGTAATTTATGGACAACTTAAAGGTCTTACGCAAGGAAATATCCAATCAAATTGAACTTAGTTAATTATAGTTCTATATATTTAGAGACAATTTCTTTTTATTTTTTCATTTTCGGCATCGTTTTTAGGCCTACAGTATTAATTTTGGACTCATGTATTAGGTATATCATATCTTTAGCACAATTGTCCCACTGAATTAAAGGGAACTCATTTTTAGGTGTGCATGAAGCAACTTCCTGGATGGTGTGTAAGTCTAGATCTGTTTGTCAACATGTGAAATCTACATGTATTTCGGGGTAGGTATGTTTACATTCAACTTTTTTTCTTAAAAGTCGCATAAGGCTTATTTTTTTCTGATCTCAAATTTTTGTTTAAGTATTAATCTTTATTATCTCTTTCATGACTTATCTGCTGAGAGTCTAGTTAATTAATTTATTAATTAAAGCTATATAGTAACATATAGTGAAATTTTTTCCTTCTGTGAGACCTAAAGAGTAACAGGTAACTCTCATTTTGACTGCAATTTCTCTGATTTCAGGAGTAGTCTCCCCTGTTACAGATCAATAATGGTGGATATACAATGTGGGATGCAGTCTGGTCATCAAGAGAGAGTTTTGACACCCGTATACCTGTATTTCTACCAATCACCTCCGTAACCTTTGTTGTGTTCATCAGACAGGTAAGAAAAACAAGAAAATAAATTAGAATAATTTTAATGAGATAAATGATAAAAAATCAAACATATTTGCAAGTACAGACTCCCTTGTAAAAGAAAATGTCACATTTTACATGTACAATTTTATACATCATTTACATGATGTATAAAATTTTCAGAACAAAGGAAATCATGTTTTAAGCCTACGGCCCTCGATTAGTTCTTTCTGTCACAGAATAGACAGTTTGAGGCCTTTCAAATAAATGTTCTGGTATAACATTACATAACTGTTTACAACAGGTCCTGTCCTGTCCCACCACAGTTTAATAAATATGCGGTAACACCAAGGAGATTGATAATTTATGGACGTTAATTGTTTGGTACATGCATTTCTAGCCCTGTAAAACATCTACCAGTAATTCATATAAAGAAGAAGGTACGTTTTTAGCTTTAGTGTGCCCTAAAAATTTAATGTTTTCAAAAAGTTTTGAAACTGGCTTTAATATATGTTGAGTATATGACTGTGATAAATCAGGAAATAATATGGCATGAAGGAGTACTATTCTGGAAATATACGTCATAAATGCGATGCATTTCTCTATTTTAAACAGAAAAAGCCTCAAAATGACACATTTCAAGGGTTATATTCCTTAAGAAAATAGTGTCCACAGTCATCGCCCACTTTAATTTTCGGATATGTGGACAATATTATTTGAAAGAAAATTCCATTGAAAATTTGTATCTTCTGCAACTTTTTAAGAAAATACGGGAAAATGCACAAGTTTTTGAAGCCTCAATTAGCATTTAGTAGGTCTTGTGAGAAAAATGATTTGTATGATCTTTCTGCCTGGAATTTCAATGATTCAGAAAGCATGAGTTTTAATTTTCTTTCTTTTTTTTTTTTTTTTTTTTTTTACATCACTTTCATTTTTAAGAAAAATAAAGGCAAGATTTGCCAGATTTAGAAAGAAAAAAAGTGGAAGGGGGGGGGGGGTTCCATACCCCAAGTGCCTGTGAAGATTTGTATCGAAACCGTACCTTGTTCTTAGTACACTGGCCAAAGGGACTTAAAAGACCAATGGACCGTTCCACACAACAATAATCCCATTTTTACCAGATATTCCAACAATCTGTTGAAATTCCGATGGATACTAATTATGTTCATTTATTAGTCGACATGTTTTCATATTCCTATAATAAAAGCAGAAATAATTCAAAAAAATTCTACATGAGAAGAGGACATTTTCTTTTGCCTTCAAGTCGACTTTCAGATATATCGACGAGGTTTTATCAATTAACAATGGTTACTTCGATTCATATGTCTACTGACTAAAGATGATAAGGACAACCAACAACTAAACTCTAGGACAAAAGAGATGACTTCAGCTTTCCATCTTCATACAATTTAGTTATTAATTGGTCCTTATCGTCTATAGTCAGTAAACCAAACAAATATGAAACAGATATACTTTGTTTGGTTTCAATGGAACTGGTCGCCATTTTGAAGAAGGGACACTCTCGATCATGAAGCGAATGCCCAACACTATCTGCCAATTAGAAATAAAGTCCGATACTTTAAAGATTTATTTTATCAAATGGTTTACATGTGCGAATTTTGAAAGGATAAAAGATTCCATTTCTAAATTTATAATTAATCTCCTAAAAAACTATTTCTGGCACGCGAGAGACAAAAACACCAAATTATTCTGATAAAATGATACTACGCGTTACTTTGCAGAAGAAATCATCTTAAATTAATGCGATTTTTAAGTGCTGTCGAAGGTATGCTAGCTGAAGTTATCATTCTATCATGTTTAAAACAGTATTATAATGGACCTAGAAATTGTACAAAATCTTTTCATTTTCCTAATAAAGGATTCGCTCACCATTCATTAGTGGTAAACTAACAACTATACTCTATAATAAACGTGATGACTTCAACTTTTCCATCACTATCTTCCATTATTTATGTAGCAACATACCATTATATACTTGCATATTTTTATTATGTCTCGTAGTAGATTTGACATGCAAGAGCATATTAATTTCTAAACCGCGGCAATCTAGTTGAAGGATATCAACATCTCTTTTAAAGTCAACAGTTTGAAATTTCTATGGTCGATACAATGACCTCTTTTTCAAATACAACCTGTCGTTAGATCGAATATTGACTGAGTTATAATACAAATTGTAAGGCCATTATTTTCACACTGAATTGTCTATAGATTTATCCAATCAAGACAAGGGCTCACGATGGGTGTGACGCCAAAGGAGATGCTTACTCCTCCATGGCACCTGATCCCATCTGTGAGGTCTTTATGGGTACTTGTTTGTTCTGCTCTCAATTTAAAAAGTTTAAAAGATTAATTTTTGATGATATTACTGAACGTTAAAATATCACTATACAGCGTCTATATTTAACATCTTTAAAAAAAACTTAGCTTATTCTTTATTAGATAAAAAAAAAACGTGCATAAAGATGACAAACAATTAACATTTTTCTATGCAAAATAAATAGCTAATACTGTACATGAATTACATGTATATCGTTTGGAAAGAAAATAAAGACTGAAACTTAGGATACCATCTACCATGGATACAATCTCTAACTAGACTTGGTTACTCTCTCACTCACGTGTGCATGAGAGTGAAATGAACAGTTATGGGTAGAGATTGCCAAAGGTAATTGACAGACGCTGTAAAAAATTTCTCCCCAGTAAAAATATTAACCCCCTCCCAAATTTTCAAGTTACACCGGCAAAACAATTTGTATGGGCTTATCGTTATGAAGTGCATCCAGATAAGGAAATATAGTGGGGCATTCTGGAAAAACAGAAATGGATTTCCTTTTATCATTTTATAAACAAGTCAAACTTTCAAACTACAATAAAGATGGCCCTGATAAGAAAATACCTTCCTGGGATATTCATTACAGTTCTTTTTCAAGGTAGGTTATCATTCTTTAGAGAATAGTTTTTATTTTTTTTCTAAATATACCAAAAAAATTAATTTACATGTTTTTTTTATGAAACAGAATTATATTTTCTGAATTAAATACAGGTATGATTAATTCCATTGGAGGAAAACAAATTAAATGCCAGAGAGCGTTAAATTACAGAACAGAAGGGACAAAAATGGCGTGTCGCTCTGAGGAAGTTATATATGTGAAGAAACAATCTATAACGTCACAAATATTTTCTCTTACCGAGTCGGAAAAATCATGTGCCTTCAATTTGGGTAAAGGGGCATGTACCCAGTTCTTACCACTTAATGATTCTATAAGTAATAATACGCCTTTTATCGCTGGAATCAGCTGTAACCTAAAGAGTACATGAGATTTGAACAAAGATTTACTTTACAAAACGTTTGACTTATTCCCTATTAGTTGCTACAAAGAGACCACACATAACTGGACCAAGGATTCCTTATTCACCAGTTTTACATATCTATGCATACCAAGTAAGAACCTTAAAAAGTCAGTGAACTTTAGAAATAAACAATAAGATGTGTGGGTTTTTTTACGGAAAAAGGGGAAAACTGTATTAAAAATTAATCAAATATTATTGCAATTGTTTGCATCGTCATATAATTTAAAAAAAAAAGTTGTATTCCTCAGAGAACCGTTTATTCCACCTCTCTGATCTCATGATCCATGAACGGATTTATACTGGTATTCGGCCGAAAAATAATACCTGTACAATTTCAGTCTATATATTCTTTTTATGTTTAATATTCTAGCTCAATTAACAAAATATAAAGCACTTGTAACATTAAAATTTAAAATCTAAACACATGTCCCAGAGAAAGGGGAGATCCAACCCAAATAACACCCCTTGTATTTTCTGTACCAACGATGAATTCTAATGAGGGAAAATTTCAGCTACACCATGCTGTGAAAATGTTTCAAAAAGTTTATTCTATACGTTTAAAATAAATCATAAATTAAAAAAATATGCTTTCTTTTTCCATCCGCTTTTTTTTTTTTTTTTTTTTTTTTTTTTTTTTTTTTTTTTTGAATATGCTGAATTTTTAAAAATAAGTTTCCGTAGTTGTCATTATTTCTGCATTAGTTATGGAATAGAAACAGAAAAAGAGGCATATAATGATGTCTACGGAATGTCGTATGTAAGTTTATTCCGTACTAGATAATTGATTCTTTTTAACAACTTATTTCTTTTTACAAGTTTCTTTTTTATTTTTGGTTTAATTTTTGAGGCACCCTTGATTACTATTAATATTTTGTTGCTGTTTAAGTTTAAGTTTCCTCCTTCTCGACGCCACTACCACTTGTACACAACAATTTTTACATCACTTCTTAAAAGGGTCGTTACTTTTATCTAAAGGAAACGTTTTGAATATTGGTTTCTGTAATAAATGATTCCTATTGTCGGAATAAATTGGTATTGTCAGATACAAATTTTTACCTGCCGGACATAGAAATGTAGCCGATGTAAAGTCGAAAAATTAATTCCGTAGAAAAATGACCGGGGTCATTTTTGACGTTGAAAAATTACCCCCAGCCGTAGCAAAATGTCATTTTTTGTAGAAAAAGAACGCTAGAGATCATTTATCTACATGTCTGCAACTCATAAAAAATTGACCCTGATTGAAAAATGACCCCCATCCAAACAAAGTGTTACAAAGTTTAAAAGAGGTCTTTATTGACAAGGTTTGGGTTTCAACGTTGAATTCTCTTGCAATTTTATGACGAACGCAAATAAAATGTGATATAACAGTATTATATGTGTTTAGATCTATAATACATTTGGATATTTTACTAGAAAAAGACATTAATAGCAAACTAACAACAAAATTTATTATAAACGTGATTTCAAATTTTCTATCGTCAACTTCCCTTATTTTTTTGTAGCAGTATACCATCATTACCTGCATATGTCTCACATTTGATTCGATACGCTAAAGCATATTCTACGTACGAACAATATCTAAATCGAGGCAAGATATTGATAAATAAGTTGATGATACAGGGATTCAATAATCTCGTTTAAAGTCAAAATTTCACAAATTCTATGATTGATAAAATGACCTTATTTGCAAATACAATCTATCATTAAGTCTTATGTTGACTGATGTTTCGGTTGTTGAAATCCCTGTAACATCAACTTATCTGTCAGTGGCCTGCATCGGTTTAAAAATTGCTCGTACTCGGAGCATGCCTCGATGATGATGATAAGATGTAAATAAGATGATGTCATAGGGCTTTCAACAGTCTCAATCAAAGTCAGCATTTTGTAAAGTCCTGAGTCATTTCAATTACCTTCTTAGCAAATACACTTATTTTCTTCTTTTTTTTATTTTTAAGGTTTTATATTTTGATATTTTTTATAATCTTAACAACTTTAACTTTACAATTATAGTCCTTGAAGTATATAACTGTTATAAATACGGAACATAATGTAATAGTAATAGTACGGTGCCGTTGGAGCCTAGGAAAAATATATAATTTTTTGGACGAATGTGATATATGTTCTGACAAATGAATACTAGTAATTCTGAAAACGTTGTTCTTCGTTTGGACGAACAAGATATTTGTGTTGACAAATAAGTTCTTCTTTCGGACAAATTAAATACACCCACCTCCACAAAAAATAGATCAAATTATTTTGATAGGCATTGTTAGGACGAACAAGATATTTCACTGTCAAGGGCTGATCTATTTGTGGTTGTTAGTAATTGCACATGGGGAAATGAGCCATTATTTTTTGTGGTTTCGGTAGAATAATTCCTTTTGAAAATAGGTTTATATCATCTCTTAATTATTGTTATAAATGCATTTCATTTTTTAATCAATTTTAATCAGATGTTAATTTATGATTTTACAATTTTTTTTACAAGAAGTGCTCCCAAGCATGGTAGTGTTTAATGTATAAAAGCAACTCGACACGATCGCAATTTACCGGAAAATAAATACAGTACTTCAAAAATTAGAGAGAAAAATGGTACTAAATTTTGTTTTGAATTTGCTACTGGTGCGAATGGCAAAGCAATGTTTTTGATACCTCACATTTATTGTGATGTTCATCATCGCGCTGCAAAAAACATCGGCATCAAAACTTGATATATACTCAGGGTTTTATGATCAGCACATGGAACCTTTGCGGTCGATTTGATGTTTTGCATTAATATATTACCATTTAATGTTAAATATGAATCTCCGTCGCTTTTTTTTAGCAGAACTCATCACCGGTCCATTTATTTTTTCATTTTTCCCATAATGTAGATTTTTGGTTGTCTTTGTTGAGCTTGCGATTTGTGTTCATGATTTTGAACATTTTATGACATTTTGAATTACACCCATATATAACCACTTGTCATATCATCATTTATCGGAAGTTCATAATTTCTTTACAGTGTAATCTATTGTTCCTTGTTTAAAAATATTTTTTAAGATTAATATCACTATCGATATATTTGTTATTTTCTTCAACATTGAGTAATACTCGGGGGAAAGTCCACATTAACTGTATTTAATTCTTAAACCAAATGCAAGTTTAATTTCATGCTAACTTTTATCGGACAAATTTAAACAACAAAAACAAAAAAGACAAAAATAATTGTCATCAGAGAATAACATTTTAGCATCTTTTTGATTATTTCAACATTTGTAATTATTTTTTTAAGCAAACATTATTTTTCTTTAAAATTGCATTCTTTGACTTTCAGCAGCACTTTTGAGCAATTGCTTTCCGGGATCATTAAATTGCATTAAGTTGAATAGTTTTCGATTTGAGCTTTCTTAATACAATGGATACGAAGATCTATAATCTGAGATAAAGATGAAAAGAGTTTTTTTTTTTGAAAAAAAAAAGTTACTTTGAGTTTTAAGCTATAATACATCACCGGTGCTTGTGGACTGGACCCCCAACCCCCTCCGGATCCAAGAATACTTTCATGCCTTCTTTCATGAATTATTCTTCTAGCACATATTTACATTGTATTCCTTATGAAAAATCCAAAAAATAACGTAGAATAATCGTTTTATAAAAAGATCATACCCGCAGTAGTATGAAATAGAGAAGGTTTGTTTACATTGGACCTCTCTTGGATATCAGGCCTAAAATATCATTTACCTACTTCTAGTCACCAAAATGTGTCATCATATCTTGTTTCGATAGAAATTTTTGTCTTTAATCGTGCTATTTAATTGTCCATACATTCCGCAATAATCCTACGATTCATTGTCAAACGTGAAAATTGCTACAGAATTTGGAAATGTTAAAGTAGGTACGAAAACGACACCTAGCTGGTACTCTCGAGTTCCAGGGAAATCAAGGGAAAAGCCTGAGGTGTACGAAATAAATCTGCTGCAACAAAATTAAATTCTTATGAATTTATTTTAGCTTCGAAAGTCGAAAGGTTTGTCATATGTTTAACATTGTAAGCAATAGAGGTCAACCAGAAACATTCTACTCATCATTTTTTTCTTTATATTTATTCATATTTTATCGTTGATAAGTCTAACATTTTTGTTGACCAAGAGCTTGCAAGTCTTTATAGGTAGAATTGTAAAGAATAAATTACTCCAAAATATTTTCTGTTGTTTCAGTGAAGTTACGGTGGAATTACACGGTTTTTTTCAACAATTTTTCAATGTGTATTTTTTTTTTTACTTCATAAAAAAATTAAAAGAAAAGATATAAACACATGTGGATTAATTAAATTGAAAAATTAACAAATTTCAATAATAAAACTGACAGTAACTTAGTATTGAATTATTCAAATTGATCCTTTTTGATCAAAAAATACTAAGTAGTATGAATAGAAGTTATTTTATCACTGAACGTAGATCTTTAAAAATGAGCTTTGTAATTGAATTTTATATGAACAATATTGTTGGGAGATAGTCACTGATTATGTTGCAAGCCTTTGTTATAGATGTATTCCTGTATTTGTAAATCATACACTGTCTGCATGTACCTACATCTTGGTTAAAGCGAAAAGTAATAATAAGATCAAATTTATTAAATCTTACAAGAGATTTTTAGAACAGATAATTTAATTCTTTAATTTTTCAAAAGAAACTTCAACACTTTGTAAAATACTGACACGCAAGCTAGATCAAATTCATAGCTAATTTGTTGCATATTTTCTAAGAAATAAAGATTGTTGTATTTTAAAATAATTTAATTTTGTTTGTATTCTAGCCTCTGATTGGTTAATATCCAAAAAGGAACACAAATTATTTCTGTATAACCTGGTTTGGTATGGGGACACAC